GTTATGTGGAACTTATTTGATCAATGATAGTTTGATGTTTTTAAACAATTTTACTCGTGGCTAAATACGATTTGGTTGGCGGCGTCTGTTCATTGCTCACTGTTTCTACTTATACTGATGTCCAACTCGAACACTTTTAAACTCGATTTTCTCGAAAGCGAAGATTTTTATAAAGAAGACACAACCGATTGCCTGCTTCCACGTGTTGAAGGGAAGATTACGATCTGTATTCGTTAAACGCCTCGTGAACGTGGTTGCCAACGATCGCCAAAAACACACATCCGACCGATTAGCGGTTATTAATATTTTTCGGTCTATTGAAACCGGCCGAAAGGTTTTATATCACGAAACAATGATAAATGAAGTTACACCGCTTTCAGAATGAATGGCTCGTATATTGAGAGTATTTGGCTTTTGTTAGCGACAACGAAAGAAAGAAACAAAAGAAAAAGAAGAGATGGGACTCCATTTGTAGAAAGATCGAGTCTTTCTGTTGTTTGTCGGTGCGTTGCGAGACGTTGATTTAGATGACTGTGATTTCCGAGTTGGCTACTTGTTATCCGAGTCAGAAGGCGATTGGTGCGTGCTGTGGACTACACGGAAGGTGTGCGAATCTGATTCTCTTCTCTTCCCCTTTACCTGATTCATTCCGTCTCCCTCTGGCGCTGCGCAGCGCCACAGAAAGTCGCCACTAATGACGCAAAGAGGAATGCTGTCCGGCAGCGCACGACCACGTCGGTAGCCATTTGTAATTCGCTGAGAAAAAGTTGAGAAAAAGTCGAATCAAAGTGTGATGACGGAGGGGGGAAGCCCGGCTACCTGCAATTAGTGATGCATGCTGGCAGCCATAATTAAAATTGTATGGTTCCCCCCCCCTTTCTTCCTCCCTTCTCGCCTACCGGCTCGCTGATTTTCATATCCCTTCGGCTCCCTTCTTCTCTGTCACTGTTCCAATTCAGTCGGCCGCGAAAGGTCGTCAGGAGTTCGTTCGAATAATAATCGACCTTCAGGATTCGTTACGTTACCAGATGCAGCTGGAATTATTGTCGCGCGTCTTTATACTTCCCAAGAATCAAACACGTCCATTGCACACAATAGTTTGGTATCCTTTATATCGATTCTTTACGAACTCTTCCGAGCGACGATAGATTCGATGGTTCCCAAGGGTAGTTGCGTTCGTCATCGTTCGTAGGATAAGAGCTCGAGATGACGTTTAGAAGCTGTATATAGTTATTATATAACACTATACGTCGTACAGTGAAATTACAAGTTTTCTTAGCTGACTTTCAAAATTCTCTGACGATATCTTTCCAAGAAACGAAAATCGACATAGGTAGCACAATTTCTTCTGGGAATGGCGCGGCGCGTTTCATCAACCCGTACGATATAATTTTTTCACGATCACTGTATTGGTTGTGTTCGTGTGTTTATAAATGGAACACCATTATCACTTCGTGCGTATTTTATTTTCATTTTATTTACGCGAGGCACGTGAAATGAGAACGAACGAGCACGTAAGAGAGAACTAAATATGTAAGAAACGAGATGCAGCTGAAGAACTGTTATGAAACGCTAGCCTCAAATTTCGATTAAACTCGTACGTAAGAGAGGTGGTGCGGCTAAAGAATTATTAAATCCTGACCTCGATTACCGATCGAATTCACTTGTTTCGAACGATGGACCAAAAAGCGGAGTTTCGTTGTGTTTGGCGTGAATGAATTCCACGACCATTTACAGAATAACACAGAACGGAGATGCTCGACTCCGGTTAAAAAGAAGCCGTCGATTAGCGAGGGTCGTGGTTTAAATCACAATTTCGCGAGGGCAAGTACACGCAATCCCGAGCAAAAGTTAATGAAGCACGTGGAGCAAAGAGAGAACCTCCGGTAATTACGTTTTTATTGCAGTCTATTCTCGCGCCGTCTCCTTGGTACATTGTATCGGTTCCGTGGCGATTTAAAAAATCGCGCAGCCCGGGCGCCCCGTCCGACGATGACAGAGTCGACAGAATATTACAGAGGTTCGCCGGAGTTAATTCCCCGGGGCCGAGGAGGGACTGTTTTAATTAGAGAATCTAATTGATGGCCGCGTATGGTGTGGCTGCCGAGCAATCCATAAACGACTTCTTAGGGCCGCGCACCTGGGCAACACGGCGTTAATTACTCACCTTCTGTGGCCGGGTCCTTCCATCTCTCGACTCCCTCCCCTTCCCCCCACCCCCCTTTTTTTCGTTCCTCGGTTGTTCTCATCGTTTTTTTTCGAGCTCTCACTCTCTCTCTCTCTCTCTCTCTCTCTCTCTCTCTCTCTCTCTCTCTCTCTCTCTCTCTCTCTCTCTCTCTCTCTTGCGACTCGTGAGCCTGAAAGGGACACGGGGCGAAGAATAAAGAGGGGGCAGGGGGGGGGGGGGAGAGCTGCGGGGGGAAAAAAGAGGAAAACGTTAGGTTCGCGCCGGTCGAGGAAAAAGGAAGGGGAGCGAAGTCACGGGGGCCAGAGGGAGAAAATAGGGAGGGAGTGAGAGCAACAAGTGTCTCCCGTCGCGAGGCGCAAAAGCATTCCTAATTACGCCCCTGCCCTTGGAGCGAAACGAGACAAAAAGCGCGTTGATTACATTTTCGTATAATTTCATCGGTCGGCTCTCGCCATTAAGAGCCACCACCGCGCGCAAATTAGATCGATTCTTTAATGCCCCCGGGGCCGCGTAATTGGTTCTCATTCTCGGAAGCTGACGATGAAATCGGATATCTGTCGTGTACCCGGCGACGGGTGGACCCTGGGTCGGTCCAGCGGAGACCGGTCAACGTAATTGCTTCTCCGACTGTTTTGCGGTTCCGCGCCGAAACCGCCTCGCACCCCGGCGGAATATCGTTAATGTCGCGATACGCGCCTTCGATAATGAAGCGAGAAACGCTTTTTGCCCGGGACACCTTGCGGGATGTTAATGAATCGTAACGCCGCGGCTGTTATTTTAACGCATTAACCCGTCGCGAAATTTACGGACACCGCGGCCGCGGTCTGGCCGGTCGTTATGCATGTCGTGATTGCCTGCGAAATTGAAAATATTCGCGGGACGCGTACCGAGGGGTCTTCGGGGTTTCTGCGCAGACGCCGAGCATTTATTCAGCCGTCCGTGGATTGCGGACACGCGAAGGATGTCTTATCCTATCGTAACGTCAACAATCATTTGCCACGCAGCGATTCTTTCGCGTTACGATGTTATGATCGAAAATTAATCCGTCCAAAGCGGATATATGTTGGAACAGAGGGAAAAAGTGTACTGGATATCTCATAATGCGCGATACACCCACAAGGAGCCTCGCGAATGCGATACGATTCTTGTCGTCTCGCCATTGGGTCGTTTCTTTCAGCAATCGACGCCTTGTTCCAGATGTTGAAACTTTATTGCACAGTGTATTATTTTAATTAACGTTTATTAATAACTAATATATAGTGTTTAATTTAACTAACGAGAAGGACAAAGCGGTATGACACGTGTTACAGTTAGTACATTCTCGTTAGTTAAATTAAATACTATTGGTTATTAATAAACGTTAATTAAAATAATACACTGTGCAATAAAGTTTCAACACCAGAGATACGAATAAAGGGTATTCCAAAATTCACGCAAGAAGTAATTTTCATAGAAAACACTGGTTTTTTATTAACCCTCTGCACTCCTACGTCGAATGTGACTCGACATTTTTTCAAGTCCAAACCAAAGAGATATACACTTGAAAATTACAAAATACAATAATTTTTAATCAACGTAAATTTCAAATAAAACGCTTAAAAGCATTGGGAGCAGCTGGTAACAAGATTGAAATATAATTCGGAGTGCAAAGGGTTAAAAATTGTAAATTTTGTATTGATTCATGAAGTATATGGAACAGCATATCGGGTAATGGCCTCCATGACTTTGCTGGCATATAAAGGGAGTTCTCCTAATACCGGTTTTTTTTTTAATCATAATCAAAACAAATGATATTATTGCAATAGTTGACTGAAACTTTGGTTAAACTTTGGTATAAAATTTGAACAGATCTGATACTATTGGCTACGTTTATCCGTTTTTTTTTAAATATTTGTCCTTCGTTGCTCCAATTGGAATAAATCCTTCTAATTAATAATTTGATTATCTCCAATCCTACGATACACACAACGTGATCTTCTTGAGATGTAAACCTACCTTGGGCATATTATTATAAACAATCTATCTATCTTCGTTCGTAAAATAATTCAATGATCCACTTCAAATATTCGAAAGAGAATTTCAAACTCAAATTATGCGAATCCCAAACATCATACATAGAAACTTGACATTAATTCTGTTAAGAGAGCCTATTAAAAATGACGAAATATTTTCTTTTTCGTATGTAATAATTGTTGTAAATACTATGTATTTTTCTCATTTATTAGGTAGTCCCATATGTTCGTGCCGAGTTTTGTCCTATACTTAAAGCAATATTTTAAATATATAACAGAATTTTATGAAAAACAGTGAATCTCTTCTCGTTGTTACAAAATTTGTTTAATTTTTTATTAAAATGTAGTTCAACGCTTTTTATTAAACCATCGACATTTTCAAATTGTTTGCCCAGTAATAAACCTGGAGACTGTTGTATTTTATTTCTTATATGCTAACAAAAATATTCATGCAATCGGGCTCAAGTACGATCAAGAAAATTTCGTTGCGTAAGCCAGTGTGGAATCCAAATTTCGAGCTTCGATACAATATGTATTTGTTTCAAAGTACGAATCGCTGACGTTAATATGTTTGAAATTTTAGAAACCCCCTGAACTGAGAAATTTTGTTTGTTTTCTATTAAATTATACATTTTGTCCTCGTCAAGTTCGGAATATCGAACAGCACGAACTTATGGGATGACCTGATAATAAGCAGTACATTTCATGATGTAAAAAAACTCACCGATGCATTGTATCGTCGATGTTACTCACGTTTCATGGAGAAATTTTTAATACGTTCCCTCTGCTTCTTGTTGCAGTGGTACAGAGTAAACAGTACCAAAATCCGCGAGGATTTGGTCCGTTTATGGATTCCCCTCGGAGCAGGTCCTCAGCGTGACCAACCTGACAAAACTGCCGAAATCTTCCTAATGAAATCCGCCGAGAGATCGGATTCGATACCATTGCAAGCGTGGCATTCCTTGGCAAGATCTGCTTTGTCCTGGTTCATTAGCCGCACGTCCATAAATGGGTGAGTACCAAGCTGCACAATCTCCTAAAAATCACGAAATTTATTCGCCATTAATTCCCCCCATTCTTTTCTCCCTTCAACCATTACATCACATCCCTTGCTCGGTTCAATTTTAATTCAATATCATAGACGCACGCGGGATACAAACTTCGTACTTGTGAAAATACGTTGCTTTGAAACCGTTCGTTGCAATAAGCAAACTATAAAGTTAATCTCAACCCTTCTGATTCTCGACTATACGATGCATTTGTATTTTCTAAACTGTTCGAAATAAAATATTTTAACAAACTTGTTACATTCTTTCTAAAAGAGATTTAATTTCAACCAAACGAGCAAAAGGGAAAACGCAAAGTTGCGAATAATGTTTGATTTTTAAGAAAACCAGCTGTCTGTCGCTGTCATATTGATGTCGACCATCGTCCCTGGCGTCAGACAATTTCTTTTCTTCTAGTTCCTTCATTAACGCCAAACTAGTGAACCAGTTATCAGCCGCGATATTTCTTGCTGATCAGTAAATTGATGCGACGAGTTTCGCTACGGTAGATTGCGCAAAATTACTCCCGACGATAGAGTTCCTCTAGTTACAACCCGCGATATATCTTCATATTTGAAGTATAAAACGATCTGCATTAGATCGTAGCGTGAATCTATAATATATTCGTCGAATAATGGGGAAAATATTTTAGCTCGACACTTAATTTGTCCCGAGTCTAATAATTCCAAATGGGAAACGCCATCCATCAAATCGTCGCGCGCGTAATTTTCGTTGGACGGAAATTGCTAGCATTTTGGGATAACGACGATGTAGTACTCCCACCTGTTAGCAAGATGTCAACCAAAATTAAAGCGACGAGTGCACGATCAACGAAGGGTTAAGCAATTCGGTCATTTTTGCGACTTCGTCGAAGAAGATAGGGAATTTGGTCGAGAATAATTTGACGGAAATATGGATAAGTGGTGTTATTTAAATATTTTGAACACTTATTTGAAAGATAGTGCACATAGACTAGAATTATCAGACTCATTCATGTTTTACGGCGATAATCACCCGAAACATGGATTGTTCAATCCAAAGATTGTTCAAGAATGGCTGGTGTACAACTGCCCTAAAATCATTCACACACAGGCTCGATCACCTGATTTAAATATCATTTAGAGTGAATTAAAATTACAAGTGAATAAGCGTGAAAAATCAAGGAAAGATCAATTAAAAGCAGCAATACGGCCAACGTGGGAAAACATTGAACCAAGTTTTCTAGAAAAGTTACTAAGTATTAAACTAATTTTTCGTATTAGATTTGTATTTTACTGTATAAATATGCTGAACACGAGGATGATTTGGCACATAATAATGTTATTGTTTCTTTTTTCATTTAATAAAGAATAAGTTTGATTTTTCATTCTGAATACGAGCAATTACTAAGTATCGAGCTATCGATTAGCAATCTATTTTCGACAAAATTCTGTATCCTATAATTGTACTCAGTACTTGTTGCGACACGATTTGTACGATTTTCACCGTGAGTGACTAACTCTCCACGATGGCTTGTAAACCACTACTGGATACGTGTGTCACGTGACCCGGAGCAAGCGAATAACAAATGCGGCTGGTATGACAATTGAAAGTCGTATCGGTCTTGTTGGAAAACCCTATACAAGTTGTCTATACTTGCTAGGGCAAGGCCGAGGCCAACCGAAGGCAGATCGTTCGCGAGGTGATGAAAGGAGGCTTTCCCTTCTCGCCGGTTAATTAATAACCGCGCAGATACGATCTCCGCCTATCTCGCTGTCCGATGAAGCTCGACAAGCTGGTGGCAAAGGCCCTGGCATGGCCGTGGCGTTGCCCGGCCGGCTCGTGAGGTGGGCCCCTTCGGAACAGAGACGGAGATAATGCGAAAGAAAGAGAGAAAGAGAGAGAGGGAGAGAGGAATGGTTATTGATGACCAGCTTTGTTTGCCCCCCGAACCGTTTATTAAAATCCAACGCGGGTGATTAACCTCTCCCCGACTGCGTCGTCCTGACAGCTACCAGGCGAAACACCTCCGCAGCTTCGGGTGTGTATATAGGATTGACCGGGGAACCGTTTATTAAAATCCAGCACGGCTATCCGTGCTACTAGGCGGAACAGCTCCGCGGCCGCTTCATGAATTAGAATGATGTAGAAGTTTCTCCGTGGCTTCTTGTCAGCCGGATTGAGCAATTAACGCATTAAGAGCCCGGACGTTTCGGATCCTGCCGGCGGGAGGATAAATTCATGGTAAAATATGGATTTTCTCGAAACTGTTTTATCGATCGTAAACGGGAACGGAACGTATCGGCGCGGGGCGCGCCGACCTCCGTAAAAGTCAATCCGTCGAGACGGTTAATATTATCCGCGATGCCGTAAATATAAGTAAAATATGCGTAACAGCGAGACGAGATTGGCGTGAAAAGCATTACGGTCACGCCGAACGTGCGTGGATACAGCAAACTCAGAATTAACGCGACGAAAGGTGGGAGACTGTGAAACGTAGACGCGATGGTTTGATTTCATATCCAAATGAGCATTATGGTACTAGGACGCTTTTCTGGGGCTCTGGAGCTCCATTGATACACATTGTTTGCATTTTGAATCATTTAAACCCTTCAATCTGTCCAGAAATCTACGATTTTGTTAAACACACGCATCAAATTTCTGGCTACACGGTATATTTTCGGTAAAGAATTTTTTTCTCGAAAGTGCGTAGGAATTCGGGGGTATGTCTATCGACCAAAAATGATTGCAATTGATCCCCGCAGACAAAAATAATTTTTTCAGAATGATTCGAAATTTTTTTTTTCGCCGAAAAATTTGTCACCATTCCTGAATTTTTTTCTAGAAAATGCGTAGGATTTCGAGGGTATATCTATCGACCAAAAATGATTGCAATTTACCCCCGCAGACAAAAATAATTTTTTCAGAACGATTTGAAATTTTTTAATTTTGCCGACTTTGTCCACCTACTCGAATTTTTTTCTCGAAAATGCGTAGGATTTCGGGCGTATGTCTATTAACCAAAAATGATTGTAATTGACCCCCGCAGACAAAAATAATTTTTTCAGAATGATTCGAAATTTTTTTTTTCGCCGAAAAATTTGTCCGCCTTCCTGAATTTTTTTCTGGAAAATGCGTAGGATTTCGAGGGTATGTCTATCGACCAAAAATGATTGCAATTTACCCCCGCAGACAAAAATAATTTTTTTAGAACGATTTGAAATATTTTAATTTTGCCGACTTTGTCCACCTACTCGAATTTTTTTCTCGAAAATGCGTAGGATTTCGGGGGTATGTGTATTCACTAAATATGATTGTAATTGACTCCTGCAACTAAAAATAATTTTTTCAGAATGATTCGAATTTTTTTTTTTCGCCGTAAAATTTGTCCCCCTTCCTGAATTTTTTTCTCGAAAATGCATAGGATTTCGAGGATATGTCTATCGACCAAAAATAATTGCAATTGACCCCCGCAGACAATAATAATTTTTTTTGGAACGATTTTAAGTTTTTTAATTTTGCCGACTTTGTCCACCTACTCGAATTTTTTTCTCGAAAATGCGTGGGATTTCGGGGGTATGTCTATCGACCAAAAATGATTGCAATTGATCCCCGCAGACAAAAATAATTTTTTCAGAATGATTCGAAATTTTTTTTTTCGCCGAAAAATTTGTCCGCCTTCCTGAATTTTTTTCTGGAAAATGCGTAGGATTTCGAGGGTATGTCTATCGACCAAAAATGTTTGCAATGGCCCCCCGCAGACAAAAATAATTTTTTCAGAATGATTCGAAATTTTTTATTTCGCCGAAAAATTTGTGCCACTTGCTGAATTTTTTTCTCGAAAATGCGTAGGATTTCGAGGGTGTGTCTATTGACCAAAAATGATTGCAATTGACCCTTGCAACCAAAAATAATTTTTTCAGAATGATACGAAATTTTTTAATAACTTTTTATGGAAGCCTCAATCAAGAAATTAATATTCTTGATTTTCGTCTTATTTTGGCCTCTAGAATCTCCCATTAAAATTTTTCCCAGTGGTGACCGAAGACCCTGTACAGCCTGGAGTCAATCGGTACCGGTCGATAGAGTGTTAACTAATTTTCAATTTGATAACAGTTGTGTTACCTGAACGAGCACACGAATTGATTAATTTGAAAACGTATTTGATTTGAAATGAAAAACGATCGCTGTATTTAACGTGTTAAAGACTTGCGATCGGTTAGAAGAAACTGATCACCATCGACTAACGGGAACTCGCCGGTAAAGGATCGAAGCTACGTTCGTTGGCTCTATGAATTTATGTATAATCGCAACGCAACAGCGATCATATTACCGATATAATAAGGTAATAACGTGAAATAAGTTTTACTATCTTTGTTTAATATTAGAATGTCCAATCTCAATCAATCCAAGTATCTTTGAAACCGATACAAAAAATGTTTCGGATAAAAATTACTCCTTTTCCGAAGTGGACATCGTACGATGAATAGAATATTGTTCAGATTGGAGGCGCTTCTAAAGCTGCGTCCCCACTGGGTCGGCACGGCTCGGCATTTGCCGATCGGCACTGCCGATCGGCACAGCGTTCGGCAAAAGGCGGCACAAGGCGGCACGGCCGTGCCACTGCTATGCACCGCGGAAAAGCCATTTCAGTACACAAAAAATGTACAGTGACGACGAAATAATAACTGGTGCTGCTGCAGTTATAGTAATAGCAAATGCAAAAAAAATGCCTAAAAAACGAAGATTTTGGATGCGTCCGAGTTTACGTAGCAGAAGAATATATAGTGCCAGTGATATGATGAAAGATTTAATTTTGGACGACGTAAACGCAATCAATCTGGAATACAGGTGTAACGGTGGCTTTAAAAATTTTTTCCGCATGTCCTCTACTGAATTTGAACAATTGCTAAATTTAATCGGGTCAAAAATTGCTGCGAAGGACACAAATTTTAGGGAAGCAATCCCTGCAAAAGTGCGTCTTGGT